CACCGCCAGGGTGGGCACGCGTGGCAGCTGCCCGGTCACACAGACACCGCCTCCGGCCTCGGTACATCCGGCATCTACCCTGCATGGCCTGGGCAGGGTAAATTCTGCCGGCCTACCCAAACTGTGGAGACGCCTGAAAATACCAAGGGCTGGACGATGAAACAGAGATGAGGAATTTTGAAGCCAAATCAAATTTTAAAAATGCCAGGCTCTGAGTGTGACGTCGAGGAGAAAAGGTGATTTTAGCACTGGCCTGCATCACTTACACCACTGTCACTGTCCCCTTACAGCTGCAGGAGATGTGGTCCAGGCAACTATCTCATTTCTGGTGACCAATGAGTGGATATGAGGGAAGGGCATGAAGCTGCATCAGAGGAGGTTTAGGTTAGATATTAGGAAAACCTTCACCCAGGGGATGGTCAGGCACTGGAACAGCCTCCTCAAGGAAGTGGTCATGGCCCCAGACCCACCAGAGTTCAAGCAGTGTTTGGACAATACTCGGAGGCACATGGTGTGTAATTTTCCTCTACTGTACACAAAGTTTGCTGGACTCAAACTTTGTATGTCCTCTCCAGCTCAGGATATTCTATAAGTCGATGATCCCTGGTTTCAGTTTTGAATGTTTCGGTTTTGAACTGAAACCCTAGTTTTAGCTTTGAAGCTCAGTATTCTAGCCACAAGGAGTAATGGCCAAGACTTATGTGAGTGGAGAAATGAGGGTCCTTCTGTTCTACATATTTTAAACCAGTATTCTGTATTTACTGCATACCTTTGTAGTTATGTTACATACCAGCAATTCTAGTCTTTAAAATCAGGCATGCTGGATCTTCTCATAAAAGATGCACTTTGAGGAGTAGGTTGTTGAATATTTACTAATTGGAGTTTTCCTTTTCAAAAGGAGAACAAAATATTTCTTGGTACTGTAAAGTGTGACAAATTGAACTTGGCACATATAACTGGTTCACTAGCTGCCCTTCTGCCAGCCTCTCCATATGGCCTCCTTGACAGGCATTTGCAAATTGTCTGTCTGAAGCAGTATATCTATATATGAATTCAGGTTTAATGCATTTTCCATTTCCCACAAGGTAAGGATATAATACACTATGTCTAGAAATTATCTTCTGAAGTATAATTTGCTGTATATTTTATCTGTAGTAAAATAATGACCACAGTTAATCTCCACTTATTGCATGTATCACCATAAGGACCATAAGCGTTCAATGTGAAGCACCAGAACACTTGTCATATGAAATACTTATTCACAGGAAGAAGCATTTTCATGGTTTTGATTTGACCCTGGATCATACTATGTACACAAAGAGAGAACACACTTTGCTGAAATAGGAAGCATTCACTAGCCAGCTTGTGAAAAACTCAGAGAATTTGAGGTCAGAACAGATAAAGCTTAGTAAGTTCTCGCAGCTTGGTGAAAAAGAGGGAAGCAGCACATCCAATTCTTCTTTTGTCTTTATGGCCGCATTCAGCCAACTCCTCAGCAGCTTCCTTCATTTCACCTCTTGGGACTCTCCCTCCATTTCACCTCTTCTTCACTTGACTTTCCAGTTCTGTACAACCTCCCACACTGAAACCCAGCGGCACTCAACCCAGTTTCCAGTAGCTCCTCCCTCGAGTGCTGGACATCCTTTACTCTGCGTGCCCTCGGTGCGGACATGCACATTTGATGCTGTTCTCCTTCCAGACCCTCCCACTGTGGCTGCCTCGAAAATTCAGGGTCCAGACCCTGCTGTATAACCTCTGAGCACGACTTTCCACAGCCCTGCGCGCTGCCAAAGCTCCTCTCAGCGCGCTGCCCACGGGCACAAACCCAGCGCAGCATCTCCAGCTCTTTCAGCAAAACTCAGAAGTGAAGGTCACTCCAGCCTTTGCCCTGAGTTTCCAGAGTGCCTCGCAGCCAGACCTGTCGCTACCTGTTGCCTCTCAGCGGGCCCGGTGCGCTCCCGCG